CATCCCCACCAGCTCCACTCTCCACCACTCGCTTGTTTTGGATCACGCTCGGTGCTGGAGACACCATATTATCCTGCAAACCTCGCTGCAAGCTACAGCTGCTGCCGACTGTCGTCTCTCACCAGACCCAGCTCCTCCAGCAGCCATCCGGGTCAGCTGGACCCGCTTCAGCGCTTCGGAACCCCCATCATCACTGAGACGGTTAGTGGTTGTTTTTTCATCTGACTTTGCCTTCACTCTCGTCACCTGCACAACCACTAACCGTTCTCCATCTTTAGACTGTTCGTGTGGATCGGTGATTGGAACCTGGAACCGGTTCACAGTCTGTGTCTGCTTGCCGAGGTCCGCCCTGCCGTTTCATCAGTTAATAAACTTTATTTAATTGATTTTTTTGTGGTGGTGATTTTGGTCCATTATACGGGGTTTGTTACAGGTTTCACAGCATTATAGAACAGTTTAAATGAGTACAAGTTTAAACGATCAATAGATAAAGTAAAATACTCTAACATCAACTTTTTCATGTTATTCTAATTTTATGACCAGCACCTTTTATATTATGTCTGTGGCTCCTTGCTGTTTGCATGTAGCGTGGAAAGACGTTTGTGTATTAATTTCATATCTTTTAAAAAAAATCACATCATTTAGTATGAAAATTTGAATTTGCATAAAAGCAATTAAACAAGTTATAATTTTTTCTTCCGTTACTCTGTTTACAGATACAAAGAAAAAAACTATGTGTACAATTCTGCGTGAAAGTTTCAACTTGCAAATACAAATTATAACAGGATTTTTCTTCCTCTCAGCTGATTGGCCAATTTCTTGTCAATCCCAAATGTAACAATCCAATCAGATAACATATTTGTTTGACTGACCTGACTTAATTTGTTAGAATGAGCTTTGAAGATGTCATAAGAGAACCACAGGTGTATTTGTTGGCTGCTCTAACCCCTGCCTGTCCAGAGCAAACAGACAGGACTGGATTACTTCCTGGACGGTGGCTGATGAAGAAAAGAAGTTCTGCTGACTTCGTGTGAGATTGCTCTGAACGTTTTAGAAGGCATCCAGCTTTCAACCTCAGTACAAAACATTGAAAAAGCAGAAAACAATTATCAGAGAGCTAGCTAATAAATAAAAAGGTGGCGTTAAAACATAAAAGGAAGGTTCTTTCAACAGAGTGCTGTACTTGTGTTGCTGGCTGCTGTCGTGCCGCTCTTAGGAGAACTTGTGGCAGGATTATTGCAGGATTATTAGATTATTAGAAGATAAATCTTGTTACTTAGGACTTGTCTGAAAATGTTTTTGGTTTCACCTCATCAATTAATACATCTGAATCAACCTGAAACTTATCAGGCTCTCTGCTGAAAATGAATTGGATGCAAACATGAGGGCAATTTTAAGGATGGCTTTGTAGGAAAATGTTAAGAAATATGGTGCAGTCTTGCAAAGATACTTCACTCTTATAAAGCAGGGACAGAAAGAAATATCTCCTGTCGCTCTGATGCTGCATCTCGACCAGCAAGAACCTGAGCAAAAGCTAACATCTCAACATTGTAATGAAGAGATACATGAGAATAAAAGCTTGCCTAAATGTAACCGTAAAAATGCCAAGTATATTTTGAAGAAATTATCCACTGGAAACAGAGGATGGACAAGCCCTTTGAAAATTTGTGTACAGAGGCAACACTGTAAAAAGGTCACATCATTGATTTATTGAAAAACCTCATGTCTCCATTTAAAACATCTCAAACACATTTACCTAGAGACTGGAACCATATTCTGTCTACTCTGCCGGAACTGAACATTCCTTTATGTTCTGGGAGCAATCCACACATTCGTAATCAATAGAAGCATGTCAAGATAGAAGGAGGTGACGAATCACTCGTGAAGCAAAGGCCCAGAAGACCAGTAAACCTGTCCCCATAGTTCAGAGCTGAGGAAGAAGGAGTTCAGAATGGAAAGACTTCTTTAGGGAACACTATTCACCCTGTTGTTCAGTAAAGAATTTATTCAACATATTTTAAAGTTTACAGTCATTTTTTAACACAATACAAGTTGTACAATTAGAGGAAGAATAATTATAAAAGAAAAACTTAGTAAAAAAAAACAAACAGTGACAATCTTGAAATATTTGTAAAGAACATGTACCATGAGTAAAAACGTCAGTGTTTTGATTTCTGGTATATATTTTTTTCACAAAAATATACATCACATCATTTTTAGATACAGTATATCTTTGCTAATGCTTGACCCATGGAAAATCCACAAGCTCTATTAAATAAATAAAAATATATTGGAGTCCAAACACAGTGGAATGGACACTAAGTTGAATATTATTATACAGTATTTTGGAGGAACGCGTAAAAAAAAAAATTGCAATACTATTGTGTTACCTGTTATTGTAATGAATACACTCTGGAGAAAATTCATAAGAGTCAGAAAAGATGACCCTTCTGTCTTTAACGTGAGGGTGAACAGTGCTCTCCTGGTGGGTGGGGGATGAAATATGTAGCTCGTAGGAGTGTTTGTGAAAATATTGATCGTTGATCGGAAGCCCAAACTCCACAAAAGCTTATCTAGCAGATGATGCAATAAGCTCTCAATTCCATGATTATTCATAGTTTATTCCTCACCTCAAATTGGCTCAATAAATAATAATTAACCAATGCTCGCCTCTTTGAGTTGATCTCCAAAATAGAACTGTAACAAGCGTAAACAGTTAGCGTAGCTCTGTGAGGCAGTGGTACGCTGAACCTCATTTCCAGCCTCAAATTCCCATTTG